CGATTCAGTAATAGGATACAAACATTGTCCCCAAATAAAGGGAGTAGATGAAAATGATAGTACATTTGTGTTATTTAGAGGCAGCTGCGTTTCCTCTTTGTTCTGACCTTGTATTTCTGAAGGATAAAAACAGTCACTTTTTCTTATTATTTATGAGACATCAAAATTTTCCACAAAAAAATATTTGTTTTTGATGAGTTGGAAATAAGCTCAATATCTTACAATTAAATCAACTTTTAATTTCAATCTTTTAGAATGTCCCAATAGATATGTGTATGTATAACAATACTTATGAATTTTGGTAATAAAGTTAACATACTCAACTCTGAAATTCTCAATCTCAATTGCATAAAAAAAGAAGTTGATTGCTTACTTCAAAATGCAACTCCAAACTGATTAATTTAGGGCACTTTCAGGATGATAAAATAAATGTCAAATTTATTTCCAATAAGAGCTGGAGTTATAATATATTTACATAACTATTAAAATGGGTGTTGGCAAACTTCTCACCAGAGTGTGAAAACAAGCACTAAAAGAGAACAGAAAAACACCACAGAAATACTGTATTACCATTTCCATGTGGTTTAGATTTTTTATTGGAAATGTTAAGGTGCACGCTTTATCTTTCCGTCAGGGATATAAGATTAAACTTTCTGGTGTTTTACTTAAGAAAGGTAGCTATGCACGATTTTGATAAAATCTACACCCTGCTTTAATGCTTAATGACCTAAAAGCCATGAAATGTTAATATATTAATATTTTTCACAAAGAGAAACTCAGTACTAGAATATTAATTTAAAAATGTAGTGAGAGAAAGAGTGTAATGGAAAAACTTTTCATCTAATTCCATGGAAAAGTAATACCAACAAATTCACAAAAACACTAATATAATCAAACTGAAGCTTTTGCATTAAAAATACATACCCATATCACTGAAGGTGGAGACTTTAAGAAACAAATGTGTTTTCAAATGAAAATAGTTTTTAGGAGGACGAATCAACCACACACAGTCATATGTTTTGATACCCTCTGTAACCATATTCATCATTGTAATAGCACCTCCCAAGTTTTCTACATAGCCACCACAATCTGTAAGTACATTGTAGCATTCAATGAAGATTTCAATGAAGATTTCAAGGTAAATTAATTCAAGAATTTTTTATTTCTCTTCTTACCTGTGTCAGGTTTAATATTTTTTTCAAGAAGATTCCCTGCAAAACAATTCAGAACTTTAAAAACAATCTATCTTTTTCATCCAATTTCATGATACAATGTTGAATGTTGAATTAAATAAATAATTATATTAACTAAATTAGTATGTTTTTACTGGATGTACGTAGAGGGGTTATAACAAGTCCTTTTGCTGTATTATAGATCTTTGAAGACACAAAATTAAATTATTTTAGTTTATAAATTTCAAATGACTACTCTGTCCACGTGCTTACCACTAAGAAATGAATATGTTGCCTTGTATCCTAAATTTGTTCCTCCATTTGCATAAAATCTCACCATCAGAGATGGTCCAGTACTAAGTATCACTGGTGGACGAAATACTGATCCAGTACTTATTTCTATTCGCTGGCCATTCCAATCATAAAACTGAAAAGTTTAGGTAAAACATTGAAATAATATTTTGAAGTTTCATCTAAATTTCAAATGAAAAGGAATAAAACATTCTCACCTCCATAATTGAAGCAACATCAATTTGAAAGTCATGAAACAAAATTCTGACACGACAACTAACAGTCAAATCAGGCTGACATGCAATGATATATTCAATTCCTAAATCACGAGGATACAAAGCTGGAAAAAATGGAGACCTTATAATTCCTCCATGACTAATGTTACCTACTTGAAGTGGCATGTTACTGTCCCGAGGATATCCTTTTAAGAACTGTCGATTTCCTAAATTGGAGAGAAATGTTTTTCCACATCTTTTAAATGTACATACAAATGTATTTTCAAAACCAATATATAATAATATTATACATACGCTCTGTAAAATACTCAAAAGAAAAAGCATTGGTATGCATTTCACTGTACAGAAATACAATGGATAAGGTCCTAGTTTGAGATTTGTATGTCAAAGAACCTGGTCCATCAGAAGGTAGCGAACTGTGTGTGCCACAAAATGGAATCCCAGAAACATCTTCATATGGAGGTTCTGATAGCCATACATAGTCACAATGGCATGGACTGTCCATAACATTATTGACACCACTACACTGATGAGAAAGATTAAGATGATGGAAAATAACAGATACAACACAACCTGGACATGTTACTAGTTCCAATGTACACTGTTCATGTGAAGAACCATTGTAGTATGAAGACTGTAAAGGGTTGGATACCAGAGCTTTTCGATTTGGCAAAGTAATATTTTGAGCTGTAATAACACCCCTGACTCCCAATTCCAAATAGAGTCTTCTTCCATTGTAGCCACCACAAATATCCTGGGACCCATCAATTTCATTGAAACCAGATATCAAAATAAATATAAGTGTAGCAGTCACACCAATTGCTGTAAAAAAAATTGTAAATTTGCCTCAATTTCTTAAGAAAAAAATTTTTTTTCAGCTCACAATCAAAACTACATACTACAAATTGAGAAATATGCCACTGCTTACCATCTTCACACTTCACCATTCTCAAACACAATGCAGAAAATGCCTTCTCGACTGACAAAGGGAAAGAAACCTCTCAAGGTACCCCCTCCGACAGTAAGCTGATTACAACCAACCACACACTCAAGTGTTCCCAGACACACTTTTAAGACTTCACTGCAGCAAATGTCATTTGCACACGGCCTCCACAATTCAGTTCCACATATCCCAAGTCAAATAAACACATTCTGCATTTTTTGTGAAAAGCACTGAAAACATTTCAAATTCTTTAAAGAAATGCATACTAAAACTTTCAGAACAAAACAAATACTTTTCTATTTAGCTACTATTGGTCATACATAAACATATGGAAATTAAATATTGTCACAAAAGTAAAAACAATTCTTACAAAAACTATATTTTCATACCTTATCACATACACAATCAAAACATCCTATAAAACATGTAACTTACAGCATTTAAAATCAATATAAAGACTTTGAAAAGATTAAAAAATAAATATGTAATAGTAAATATGCAATACCAAATAACTGTGGTTCATTATTTTTGAAAACATTTCCTTGAAATACTGGGACAGGTTAACAGGACAACTTACGGGGCAAATTAACACAAAACATGAAACTAAGTGGATTTTGTTCATTGCAAACTCCAGAAAAAACATAATAAAATCCAAATTAAGGAACCAACACAATTTTTTCTAAAAACGTTGTGTAAATAACACCTAGAGATTTAAAAAGAAGTTGCTCTCGATTTAACAACTACTGTTTCATTATTATTTATGGAATTTTAGAACCCAATGCTAAGATAAGATTTCACATACACCTAATACTTTCACTTTGCAAAGCACTTCAAAATTCTTCTTCCAATGATAAACACCACTACTCTCCAATTTGAGGTCACAACTCCAAAAGAAACAGAAGCCTTCAACTATTAAGTTTTAACACTTTAATGTAAGCTAGCTGCAAAGTCTAAAAATGTTTGAAATTAATACCCAGAAGAATACAAGTAACATCCATATTTGGGGTGAGAACCATCACAAAACTAGAATTGGATTATCAATATTGTATTACATGATAAGGATATCTGATTTTTAGGTATTCAGACTGTGAGCTATGTATCTCAGGTTAAAAAGGTTAACTAAACAAATTTTCAACAGTGTTTTAATGAGTTTTGGGGGAAACAAACCTTTATTTGAAATGAATGAAATAAAATTGAAGAATCTAATATTTAATTAATTGAATTATTGCCAAATAATTTAATGCCACAGCCAATAATCATCAACACTGGAAACAAATACAAAAACATTTATTAACAAACTTGCAAAAGAGTCTTTTTATACACGAGATATCTGCAAAGATGGTTTGGCCACATTAATATTTCATAAAACACACAAGTGAAAGTGACTGGAAAACAAACTAAGGAAGAATTACAAACAAATCTGGGACAATATTACTGAAGAAACTTTAAAAAGCAAAGATGCATACTGAAAATGAGGACTTCATAAAATCATTAATATAATTGAATTGTGAATGAAAACATTAAGATGAATATTTTTAAACTTTGAACAATTTTGTTTCTATATTAAAAGTTACAATGGTAGTTTCTGTTGAAGAATCAATATCATCATTCATGAAATAAGTTTCACATTTTAATGGAAGCTAGTATGAAAGACTAAAAAATATGGACTTAATGCCCTGAAAAATAGAAATAAAATCTGTATCGGAGGTGAGAACTGCCACACAAAACTAGAACTGAATAATTAATGTATATAATATACTATACTTTAATAATTAAATGGCTGGATTATTAAGTAATCAGACTGTTAGCTTGGCATCTCAGGAACTGCAGTGGTCATTCCAGTCAATTGATGAGCAAATTATGATGGAAGCATGTCTTAAATTTGGATACTGGGACAACAAGAATTTGTGGTAAGTTCTCTCTATTACTGTCTGGACTGTCTGGGACGAGCCACCTCTCTGTCGTGGTGTCTGACATTTCAGTCAACATGCTTTGGCCTTCCTCAATGCGTACTGCTGGAGGTAGGCCACAACACGTTGGCCAAAACATCAGAGATGCAGCTCATCCCATACAGTCAAGATACTATGGCCACGGAAGCCTATGCAATCATATTCTCCCTAGGTTCTCCATTTCTCTACCTCATACTACACCATTACATTATCTATCATCATTCATTTATATCTCACTGGTTTGCTTTGATCAGTGCACCCGCACTCTGACCATCCATGGTATATTTCTTCATTCATGACACCATAAAATATGTGAATAATGAAAATGAAATTACCAAACCAAGAACATACAGACATTTATTTACATTGCTGTGATTTCTTCTCTTATGTTATAAATGCAAATAACATTTATATAGCAGTGTAACTGGTACAAAAACACACACATGAAGGATTGCAGGTATGTAATAAATTGAATTATGCTTTTATTAGTTTCTAAACGTATATTTTTCAAATAAATATTTTTTTTACAAAAATCTATTTTTATCACAGACTATACACATGTTAACAGCAAAGAATTTATTGGAACTATGAAGATTTGCCTTTTCTAATTAATCTTAAATGTACCATCAATTAGAGCCTTACAAAACATTCAAAAGCTCAGTTCTCATTACCTGTCACATAGTTGGAGAAGAAAAATAAAAGGAAAAAGAAAACAGAAAGGAAAGAAACAAGTGGGAAAGAAACTTTTGTTTTTCACAGAATCAACACACACTTAAAATACTGCTCTAGTCATAATGCATTCACTACAACTGGCGACAGTGCCAAAGACTCATTATGCATTAAAATAGAGTAACTCAAGGTTAAGATTGAAAATATAGCATCAAATTTGCTTAAATGTAACAAAATTGATAGATAAAAAGCACTATTAATATTCTACTATTCTACAAGGTGTCTTGGAAGTAAATTATCATCCCATATTCTAATAATAAGTCAAAACGGGAGCATACAAATTAAAGCAAACATATGCTCACCAAACAATAGTCTTTGTGCATTTGAGATTATTTTTTAAGGTTACATTTATAAAGTACTACAAGTATTAGAAAGTTCATTTACAAGAGAGGAAAAATGCAATTTAATTACAAGATTCTTTTTTAATCTCAGATAAAATTGTTTGTTTGAAAGGGCTGACCTACATCAAAGCACTTAGAATAATTTGTGATGTATATTTTGAAGAAAGTACAAGTTGAATCTATTAAAGTGTCATTTTAATTACCAGATTTTAATTAGTTTCCCATCCTATCACTTACCAAGTATTCTTTACTACAAAGAACTGACTTCAAAAGAGTCCACATTTGTCAGCCCTGAGTAATTTATGACTTATACCTGTGTGGTATTGACCTATATAAAACAATAATTGTGATGATAGAAAAACACAGTTTTCAGTCTACAGATACTGTTTTTCTACTCTCATACAACTGCTACCCACCATAACAGGTGCTATGAAATTTCATTATCAAAAATAATTCTGGTGGTCTTAGCATTTCATCAGTTAGCATACACCAATTCCAAATTATAAAATGTATTGTGTCCAACTGTCTTTATTTCTCAAAACCTCCGTGATAATGAGTCAATAAATTTACATATTGCATGTATTCACTCCACCATCAGTTTTGAAAGTTAAACAACCGCCAATGTTCTTCTGTCAGCAAAAAAATTGTTTGCACTGATCTTTCATCTCTGGAAGCCAAGCAAGTCCGTGAGCCTGTCGTTGAGGTCCTGCAGCCACTGAAGCATTGGAGGGGGCTTAGTGGCAGGAGCACAGGGCTCGGACGGCATGTAGTCTTCCCCTCTGATGCAGAAGTAGCTGCGGATGGGGCTGCGGCACATGGGACACCGGTCCAACTTGCTGAAGCACGATGCACAAATGCAGGTGTGGCGACACGGTAGAAGAGCTCGAGACAGTGGGAAGTACTGACACACAACACACAGCTGTTCTCCTGCTGTAGTCCAGACAGATCGCTCCTCTTCCTCTTGAGGGCAAACAAGAGGTGCTGTTGGCTCATCCTCGTAACTTAAAGGATTCCCTGTTGCCAGGTACAATTGCTGCAAAAGAAGGAAAAAATATAAACAATTAAAAATAATTAATACTAATTAACAAATCAATTAAATGAAGAATTAAAAAAAATATGAAGAATTAAAAAGAATTTTCACATTATGATAAAAGTCATGAATCAAAAGAAAACACTCTTGGAAGAAATGGGACTGTACTACAAGGTGCAGATTGATCTGTATGTACATGTATTTAACAATCAAACAAACAAATAACAATGGATAACAAACAAATAATAACAAACAAATAATGGATAATTGAACTGATCAAATGCTATTATTTGTTCCAAAACATTTTTGAGGCATATAGGGAATTTATTTTACACATTTCAGTACAAGCACATTTTTTTAAAAATATTTTGCACAATTCCATTTTAAAAGCTAGCTTTGAATGTCACAAATTACGAATCACTGATTTTTGTATTATAATTTTGATTTTTGAATTGAATATCAATACAAAAACAGTCTGAATGCTTTTGATGAGGAGGGACAATGTATTTCATAAATGCTCAACAGAGCGAATTGATCCACCACTTCCTCCGCCAGTTTTTCTTATGCCACATGGAAGGAAGTGGGTGAACCGAAAGACTGAACTCTTAACTGATAGCATGAATTCTGAGAAAAAGTATTTCAACGATATTGTCCATAAACCTCCCGATTGGAAAGAAATATAATAAAGATATTGTTGTTAATGATAGGCAACCTCCTATGTGGGAAAAAACAACAACAACAACAACAACAACAACAACAACAACAACAACAGGAGAAAGGAAAAACACTTTTTGATATTAATAATGTACTGTGGCTAAGTTTGCGCTTTACACAATTTTCTATGTAATAGTATTTAATATCTACATTTAGTAATATTTTTCTGAGGATCTCACAAAAACCTCCCATGTGGTTTTTACAGCACCTGAGATATTCTAACATCAATAAGTTGTAAAGGTCACGTAGGAGGTTTTTCATTATCATCATCATCATCATTATCATCATCATCAACCGCAACAACAACAACAACAACAACAACAACAACAACAACAACAACAACATCCTTGGTTTAGGAGCGGTGCTCCTGTCCTGTTAGCGGGTAGTAAAACTGTAATCCTTCATGTGATGAAGTGTTCCTGCTGGTGCCATCATCTTGTCAGCCTGCCTCTATCCCTCTTGCCATTCGGTCTATAATTTAATGCCATCCATGATAGACATTGTTTGTCCATTCTTTTCACATGTTTTCTCCTTTTCCTTTGGTAATTTTTGATTTTTTCTGCTAAGTTTCCTATTTTCAGTTCTTTCCCAATTGTTTTACTTCAAATTTTGTCCCTTCTCCTAACTCCTAACACTGCCCTTAGAAACTTCATCTAAGTTACTTCTATGCTTCTAGTTTCCTTAATATCTATTATCCACATTTCTGAAACATACTTGTACATTGGTTTTGATGTAATATTATGGAACTCCATAATTGTTTATTTTCTCCCATGTCTAAAATGTCTCTTCATTATTCCACTGTTTCTATTATATTTTTGAATTTTTTTCTCCTACATTCTTCTGATTCAATCCAATTGCATTTTTGAGATATTTTAAAGGTGTTAACTTGTTCAATTATTGTATTTTCTATTACTATTTTGGCTCTATGATATTCTTTGTCATAGGAGGCTAGTGTTTTGGTTGTCTGGCTTGATATTTTATTTGGTGTTCTTTGCTTATTTTGCTTAAATAGAAGATACACTCCAGAAAACAGCTTTCGAAGTCTGTTATCATAACTCGGAGATCTTTTATTTTATATTTTAAGACCACAATTTCTTGTTTTCTTTAGAAAAGAAGCAAATTCTGAATCATTAACCACATAATCTTAATCATTCTACCACATAGGAGGTTGTCCATCATCAACGATGATACGCAAATTTAATATTATTAGCACATTCTGTTTTTAATTACATATTTTTGAAATAACAAAAAAGACATTTATGTATTTAATTTTTTTTTTTTTTTAATAAATGAAAATCAATCCCTACATATGTAATGCAAATACGTGTAAACAGTAAATCAGAAAATAAACTATTTTCTGTTACTTTTTTAGTTTATTAATAAGCTTTGAAGCAATTAAATAAACAACTTCATTCTATTACAAATAAAGCTAACTGGTAGCATTTCACTATGAAATTTGATTAGGATGGCCAATATTACAGATCATTAAATAATTCTACCTTTGAGATGAACTCAAATGTGAATAACTGATGTTATTTTTTAATGAATGTACAATACCTTTAAGCACGATAGTTGGCCATTTGCCTGCTTCAAGTATTGTGCAAGAATACTTGTCGGCAATGTGCAGACTGAATCTTTGATGTGGACTACGTTGATTAAAGCAACCTAGGGAAAAAGAACCCAAATATCTTAGAAGCAGAAATTGGACAGGAGGTATTATGTAAGAGAATAATGTAAATATATTTATAATCATAATACATGCAACTGATACAAAGATCAATACAAATGGAAACAGAAGTAATACAGAAATAAGGAATGACTGACTGATTATATGAAATTAAATGTTCAAAGAAAATGTTCCGAGTAGACTTCCCTTTCTTGAAAGCATGAAGCAGGTCTGATTGAAGACTAAATTGTCTAAATATATTAGCTTTACTTGTGAAACAATTACTTTAAAACACATTGTTCAAGGGGGGAAAAAGTATATTGAAGATTATAAGCATTTACAAAATTATGTAGTGAAATAGCAAACAGACTTATAAGGCACTGTTAGAAATAACACACATATATAAATGGAAGACCACATTACAAACATCTTGCATTCAAATGTTTCTTTTGTCTTTCTTCTCAAGGTCAGTAATAATGCAGATAATAAAACAAATATTTGTAATTAGAGAAACAATTCAAACTGTTGAAGAAAGAAGAACCTTTAGAGTTATCTTGCTGCCAAGAAACATACTTTGTGAAAAAGAAAAACTCACCGTCTCATCTGGCTGCATTGTACGTGGATCATTGCGCACCAGAAAGATGACCAGAGGATAGCACAATCTTGGAGGAGTGCCCAGATCCAAAGCCGGTTGGGGAAGGCTCAGTGTAAGCACTTCATTATTATGGCTTGTTTTTCTGAAGAGAGCAGTCAAGGAAGCTTATAAATTACTGGACAATAAATGCCAGATATTAATTTACAGAGAAATAACAGTTCCTGGAGGAGAAAACTGAAAAAGACATGTATCACATTGTTGTTGGGAAAGTGGCATATTGAAAAAATTATCATTATGCTCAAGCTTTGTTTTATTCATAGGGCGATAGGGAGTAGGGACAATTATTTTGAAACCAAAAGCAATATGCTGTATTGAATGCACCAGCTATCCTGAGAACTATATGAAATTTTCACTATTAAGAAGTACTATTTAATTTTACATTTTATATATTTCTTTAACTAAAATTCATGATTTGTTTCACACAGTCACAGAGAGACAGACACACACATACATATACACACACACACACAATAACCTTTTCATTTCAAATATTATTTCCCAACGAAATCTTGCAATGAAGACCAGAAGAAGAATGCAGGGGCACCCAAAGGGGGTGGGATGTGTCCCCCACTTCCCATTCCTCGGCTCGCTTCTACATTATTCTCCTGGGCCAACTCAGGAGCAGCTTAGGCACCTTGCCCTCAAACCTGACTTACTTGGTGCCCTGTTTTTTTTTTTTTATTCAAAACAAATAGAAATGTACCAAATTATAGACTGTAGATTATATTATATAGATAACCATCCCAAAGAATTGAACAAATACATTATCAATATAGACATTCTACAAAAATAGAAATTAATTTGCCTGTAATTCAAATTAACCCCTTCACTTTATTTCTGTTGCATGGAGAAATGAATCCTGTTTGTGCATGGTAGAGGAATAGAACTTTTGTTTGAAACAGGTATCTCCTGTGAATCTACTACCCAAGGACCCTTCTTTTCTCTAGGTGTGTAACTCTTCCAAATGATACAATTAAAAGAAAGCCAAAATTTTAAAAATGCAAGAACTAAAAATAAAATTTTTCAAATCAATGTAAGACAAATCATGGTTGTATTGTTGCTATTTCTACACGTCACTGCGATTTGCAATTAAACTGCAGGATTGATGACACATGTGGAACAATGTTACTGATTTAAGGCAGAAAAAGGATACTGAATGATGACGCCTTTCTGCTGGTAGTGCCCTTGCAGCAGGTTCCCAGCTTGCAGTTGGCTGTGCAGCACATTCCAAGGTCTCCACAGGAAGAGGTGCAGTTCACGGATTGACACACCCCATATCGCTTGTAGAGTGTATGGCACCTGACTCGATACCAGACACTGCAAATCTGAAACGAACACAAACGAAACTATTAACATTGGTCAGAACTTTCCACATGATAAATGACATGTAACATTAACATAGGGTGCGTACATAATCACTCATGAGGCCTGGATTCGGATGACAAAGTAATATTTTAATTAACAGGACCCATGCATTGCTACACTTTGCCCACAATGGTAATCAAGCTTCCCAGATTATAGAAATGTACATTTATTAAATAACTTTTTGTTATTGTTCCATTTCTTCATGTTTGAATCATTGTTTTAAAATTTGGCTTCTTTTCATTTCATTCATATAATATGCCATCCTTATTTTTCGGTAATTTTCTTCTAAATATTGAAATAGAGGGCCCTGAAGTAGTTAAAGTGGAAAAGACACACATAGAGAGGAGTCGCAATCTCCTCTATATAAAAACAGTATAAAAGTTACAACTGAAAAGTCCAACATTAGCAATATTAGAAAAATCTAAAACTTCACAAATATTGTTTCATGTTATTCAGTAGATATTCTCCACGACTAATGAAATGAGGAAGGTTTCCAAATTCTGGAACAATACAATCACTATTCAGTGAACACAGGATTTATCATGTTTCTGAAAATGTAATTGAAATATTTTATATTTACTAAGATTTGGACATGTATGTTATAGTGGACATTTTAGCAGGAAATAGTAGGACACTTGTGTCATTTCTGGACCATACGTTTGTAAATACCAACTGCAATGTAATCCTGAAACTTAAAACTAGGAGTCTTCGCCAACTATAATCACATCCACTTGGTTAATACGACTAAAGGTTGCAACAATATCTTTTTTTAGTACTTGTGATTGAATGATGAGTGGAAAGTGCATCACTACCTGAACCATTGGTGTTCCACCTCTGGATACTAAGGTTACAATTTCGGAATTATGGAATTTGTACAATACTTCTAATTGATCAGTTGGGTCCGCGGGAGGTTTCCCATAACATCTCGTTTCGTCAGCTTCCCAGTCCATTGCCCAGTCATCTTCTTTCTTATGAGGACCATAATCTACTATCTTCATTATCATATTCAACGTTAATGCAGAACGAAGGAGTTCAAATGTGAGGCGCGTTGAGATTTTGGCTGCGCAACACGGCTGAGGGCCGTGTCCTAAAGTTTCCAGACAAACGATTTATTTATTATAATTTTTTTAAGAGGTAGCATTCATGATTCTTCCCCAGCACTTTTTTTGTAAGGGATGCTCGTGATCAAGAGGCTGCGATTCGGGAAATCAAGCGAGGGAGAGGCGATGGCCCACGGGCGTGGCTTCGACTCCCGAGGCGGGGCGGGCGACCTTGGTTCACGCGCCAGCTGGCATGCCGCCGGTCGGCCGGCCAGTCACGCCACAGCCGTTGCTGCCTCTCCCTGAGCGACTGGCACACGCGGACGCTGTGGTTCGAGCACTCGGTGGTGGATTCAAGGGAGGAAGAGCACACCAACCGTTCCGCCACCCTACCCCCCCCGCTTACTTTGTAATTTTATGCAATATATTTACGAATCCTCTGACAATGTAAGAGACATCAATGGTTTATTTAGATACCCAGGAAAACTGGTAAAATACAATATTAATGAAACAGTTTCGATTTTGACAGAAAAATTCAAATAATTTACTATAATAATCTGCAATTTCTCACACCTGTGCATACCAATAATCTGTTGAGAACGATTTGCATCGTTTCAGAAAAACGTAAAAAGAGAACACAATAACGAAGTCATTAACCACGAGCTATACTTTCGAAGGGGTTTTACATGAATAACACTTATATCGTTGACAGCGACAGCAAATAGAGCTACGCTGAGTTTGATCCTTTAAACGCAGTTAAGTAGAAAGAATGCCGTCCCTTCAGGCGGTGCCGTGGGCTTTTTCAATATTAAGGAAGATAGCTACCAGACATTCTAGTACGGACTCGGTGAAGATCAATGAAGGTAGGGTAACCAGATGATCTGTTTAGAAGAATGGTCTTCTAAACTCACAATGGATAAGTGTTCACAAGTAGTTTGGTTCAAGGAGACTATCTGACTACGATGACTTAGTGGAAGTCGTATCTCCTTATTCACAACATTGTTGCGAGAAACAATCCGTTGATATGAACGGCAAAAGATTGAAAAGAGGCAAATATCGTACTTCACTGGAAAAATTAAGACGTAAGGAAAAATTGAAGAAAACATCGTGGCATCGCGAGCTAGGACACGAATGTGAAGAACTGATAAAAGGAAATATAAACACGAAGACAAAAATGAAAATAAAAATGAAAATAAAAAAGAAGAAATAAAGTGACAGAGTGACAAGAAAAATTGAGATACACAAATTTATCAAGGAAGACATAAAAGAAGAGAGATGAGAAAAAGAGGAGACAGCGGAAAAGAAGGAGACAGCGGAAAAGAATGAGAGTGGGGAAGAAGGGGGGCGGAGAAAGAGGGAGAGCGAAACAGGAGGGCGGAGAAAGGGGGAGAGGAAAAGGGAGGGCGGAGAATGAGCTACAGAGGGAGAAAGAGGAAAAGAGGAAGGGCGGAAAAAGACACCTTTGGGAGAGCGTCAATGTGCCCAAGGTGGCAGGCAGCGTAGGCAGCGAGGGCGGCGGCGAGGCGGTCAGCGCCCTCCGCGGGAGAGCCTCCACCGCCGCGGGGCGTTACGTAAGAGGCGGGCCGCGTGGAGCTCAGCAGAGCCAGTGGGTCAGCGAGGCAGCGACGCGCTCGAAAGTGAAAGTGGCCCCACAGCCACAGCCACCGCGCCGCGCCGCGCCGTGCTGCACCGCTCCCTTTGCTTCGCCTGCGAGCGGCGCGAGCTGCTGAGCTCACGCCTGACAATTCTACGGCCACATACGAGTCTTTTCAGTAAAAAGTTGCAATCTTGGCGCTGAAAGACGCTTCACTTCTCGTTAACTGGATCTGAAGGCCAGAGTTTGAAGCTGGCATTTTTAAACGAGGGACGTGGTCAGGAAATTCATGGCTGTGGTAAACTTTTAGGTCTTAATACACTTCAATAAGAACATATCGAATAGGATGGGCCATATTTTATAAGATTATAACATTGATAAAATATATATGGTATATGTAAAAGTAAATTTCGAGTTAATATCATATCTAGGAAGAGACTACCAGAGTTTACAAGACTTAATGCACTTTTGGTACCCAAATATCTAAACATGACTTCACATTGAATCGCCGAGTTTCCCCCATGCCAGGGGACCACGCACCGCCCCAGCCAGAAAAAAAGTTCTAATCTCCTGACCTGTGGGGTATGCAAGTATGAAGTGTACATTTAGAGGTGTTGCAGAGCGTTGTAATGTTGACCTTGGACTAACGCAGACGGTAAACTCTTCGACTAAAGGTAATCTCCACATGTAGGAAATGATCCCTTAAATAATTGACCCAACCAGTTTGCACAATCAAAGTCCTGATATTATTGAGATTAGCAAGTTTCCACGCTCGGCGCAAAACACACGAGATCTGCGAGAAGAGAACGTATTCTAAAACAATAAATAATCAAGGCTGAGCGGAAAAAGAAAGAAATTTAAAAGACAATGGTTATCGCAGGAGGAGAGAATGGGACAAAGGAATATTCTACCCTGACAGCATCAACAGTAAGAAAAATACAACTTTTGAAATTAGAACATGCTTGAGCGCAGACTACAAGAAAGAGAATTTCGAAAAACGGAGACAGAAAGAAGAGGAAAATTGCGGAAAGGGAAACTAGTTCAAAGGGAATGGAAAAACCACGACGAAGAGGATCAAGACAAAGTCAGGAGGGTACAACGCGTATAACAAATTTCGACACACGCCACAGGGTTTGCGCGGAGACTCTGAAAGGAAAGGTCTTCACCCTTTCTTGGAACCGAGAGATTGGGAGCAGCGAAATGCACAGACCTTCGGTTTCAGAAAATACGCATATAACGGCGCCCAGGAAAACGTTCAAGGCCTCGCGCGCAGGCGCTGGGCGTGGCGGCCGCTTGGGTTTCGAGAAGCGTCGCGAAACCGGTTGCGAAACAGAGCACGAAGGGCCCCGGGCGCACGCTACGAATAATTTAACAGCGCGCACTCGTTGGGCACGTGCGAATTCATGGATTGATTACTGCGTGTTTACGGGCGCATCATCTGCCGCGGTCTTTAGCTTCGTGAGTGTGCTGTGTGCAAGTTACTCCCTTGAGGTTCCTACTCCGCCGGAGATCCAGTGCTGACCTACGTTTCCCCTCCAGTTATATCCGCCAGTGGGTCGTTACCCCAGCGGGACACCAGCTCTAGGCTCTTGGCATGTGCAGTAGTGTTGTGCACGCGAGTACATGTGCGCACGAAAGACGAGAGGAGGGGCCACGGATGTGGAAGGAAGATGGGGCACAGTCCGCGGCTCATGTGTTAGGATACTGCTCCGGGATTCGCCTGGTATTGACCGGACAAACTACACGGAAAACTGCCCATCAGAGAAGCCGGCTGCTAGAATTCACCTCCAGATAGAGGCTGGAACCCGTGCGAACATTAAGCACTTTTTTACCCTTTATTTTTTATGTGAAAATATATTCATACCTTGAATCCAACTTCGTTAGTTTCTGACACAGTAAGGAGCAGAATTATCATACAAATATATGAAGGAACGTTCAAAGAGGTTTCATTATATAGGTTATGGCATAAGAAATGTATCTCGTTTGCCTGCAGGGCTATGCAAACTTTGTATTAGGAGTCTTCATTTCCGAGTTAAGTGCAATGGTAAAGTGAGTTGCAGCAAAACACGTGCTGTGAGATGCATGTGCGTCTACTGTTCTCTTCATTGCACAATCTTTCATGTGGGGGATGGGATAAATCGTCACCACCTAGCGTCAAAACGTTTTTTGTTGTTGTTTTTTCTTCTGACGGCAGTTTCTCTATTCCATAACTGATTTTATACTCTCGGAGAAAACCTTTGCACGATGTGTTAAGAGAATCTGATTTGTGACTTTCTGAATTAATGATATATCGCGTTTATCATCGTATCTGAGAAATAGAAAAGTC